ATATACACATACACATATATACTACAAAGACTGTAGTGTAAAGCGCTTTGAGTATCTTGAAATAAGGTAGAAAGGCTCTATAAGTACAGTCCATTTACCATTTGCCATTTACATGTGATGGTATTTGAACAAAGCATCATGTCTAAAAACAGTATTTCATCAGACTTTAAAAATTGTTCCAGTGTGCATGGCTCCAATAACAAAACATTTAAAGTTTTGTAAAAATCTTGTTTGTTACAGGAAAACCGGACTGCTTCCATCCACCCACATGCACACAAACAACAAATCAAAACATTATGTGTTTGAAGGCTTTAGCCACATTCAGTCAAAAGGCACAGAAAGGCTAAAAGGAAAATATTAAGTGAAAAAGGAGAAAAGCTTGCCCTTTTCTGCTTTTCTTTGCATTTCAATTCTTATTGTATTTTTTTTTTTTTTTTCCCCACTTTGTTACGTCTTAATTGGCTCTTTCAAGTAATGAAGGTCATGAGCGTCGTGCTCTCACTGGTAGTCTCTGCACCTGATTGGACGCAGCATAGCTCTAATTATCACAGGGGAACATATCAGCTCCGACACTAAGTAGCATCTCACACAATGTAGCATGTAGCTGCATTTGTGTGAATGCATATTAACCTGCACATGTATTGATTTTAGATAAAAGAAAGGCAGCAACTGATATGAAAATGCTCCAGGCCAGCACACTTAGCTGGCATCGACCCATTATGTGCCACAATGACAGCAACACTCACACATTCCTTATTAATAGCAGAACAATCTGCCTGTGGTTTTAATTGGGGAAGTGAGCAGGTATTGGCAGTGCATCACAAAGAAGGGCTTGATGGTTATTTCAAGTGGTCTGATATAAATTCCAGGGGGTCCTGTACATGGCTTTGCTGTGCTTATTAGTCATCTAAACAGATAACAGATTGCATCTTAATTGGAAATCCCTCCAGTAGCCTTGGTAACCGTATTGTAAAATTGTCCACACCTTTTTGGACTTTGGGTTTCTTAGGACACCGTAGCAATGGCAACTAGTTAAGAGATGTGAGGTATTGCAAAATGTAAAGAAGCCCCTGTGATGTTGTTAATAGCAACTGAAAGACTGCAATTACATAAACTGCCTATAATAAATGCTGGGTATGTTATATTTACATTAATAGAGTTAAGAGTCTAAAGAGTAGGTATGGCATTATAAATATAAATTTGCGGGGAGTGGTGGCGCAGAGATTAGAAGATGGGCTTGTGATCGGAAAGTCGCAGGTTCACCTCCCGGTACAGTCAAAATCAAAATGTGGGTGGAAAAGATGAAACACCCACACCTCCCTCCACCCTCATTCGCCCCACTCTGGGCCCCTGAGCAAGGCCCTTAACCCCCACCATCTGCTCCCTAAAAACAGGTCTCCCTTGAAAATGAGTTCTCGTGGCTCAATGAGACTACCTGGAAAAATAAAGGTAAATGAAAAAATAATAATAATAACAATAATAATAATAATAACAATAATAATAATAATAACAATAATAATAA